CTTGCTGAGAAACGAGAGCATGAGAAAGAAGTGCTCCAGAAAGCAATAGAGGAAAACAACAACTTTAGTAAAATGGCGGAGGAGAAACTGACCCACAAGATGGAAGCTAACAAAGAGAACCGAGAGGCACAAATGGCTGCCAAACTGGAGCGTTTGCGAGAGAAGGTTGGTTTCTTGCTTTGCAAAGGGGCTAAGAGCTTGAAGCTTGATGCACCGATGAATTGGCTTGAACTAAAAGGTGTTTGGTGCCTTTTTGCCACAGTTGTGGGGTTTAACGTGTCAACTGAGAGGTGTTTTAAGATGGACTATTGGGGGTTCCCAGCATAATTGCACAGTTCGTGGAAGAGCAGCAGGAGGTTTGGTTTGGTTATTAGGTTCTGCAAGTGACCCAGGAGGTTTGAAGATGATGTCTTAGAGCTCGAATTTTGTGATTCCCACAGGCTGTGATATATAATATATGTACTGAGGCTGCATTGGGCCTCTCTGGGTTGGAGGGTGTGACTTGACAGGCTTTTAATTTGACTGACACTTACCATTCCTTTACAGGATAAGCACGTTGAAGAAGTGCGGAAGAACAAAGAATCCAAAGATCCTGCTGATGAGACTGAGGCTGACTAATTTGTTCAGAGAACTGACTTTCTCCCCCTCCCCTTCCTAAATATCCAAAGACTGTACTGGCCAGTGTCATTTTATTTTTTCCCTCCTGACAAACATTCTAGAAGCTGATGTAGGACTGTATAGGTAGATCCAGACTGTAAGATGTTGTTTTAAGGGGCTAAAGGGGAGAAACTGAAAGTGTTTTACTCTTTTTCTAAAGTGTTGGTCTTTCTAATGTAGCTATTTTTCTTGTTGCATCTTTTCTACTTCAGTGCACTTGGTGTACTGGATTCATGGCTAGTACTGTATTGGCTCTGTGAAAACATATTTGTGAAAAGAGTATGTAGTGGCTTCTTTTGAACTGTTAGATGCTGAATATCTGTTCACTTTTCAATCCCAATTCTGTCCCAATCTTACCAGATGTTACTGGACTTGAATGGTTAATAAAACTGTACAGTGCTGTTGGTGGCAGTGCCTTCTTTCTAGTCAGATAGTAAATTATCAAGCTGTGGAGACCCTCCTGGTTTATATTTGTTCCAGAGTGGGCCTTTGGGCTGGTGGAAAAACCCAGCACCCACATGACCGCACGTTCTCTGCCCTCCGTTTCTTGCTCCAGAGCTGTTTGCATTGTCTCCTTCCACAATCATTGCTTTGTTTGGATGCCTCAGCCCAGATCAGCTGTTACTATATTCTTTCAGATGTTTATTTGCAAACACGCATTTTTTTGTTCTGTGTCCCTGTTTAAAAAGGCAGATTAAAGGCACAAGTGGTGTTTCTAGAGAACAGGTTAGAGGGAATCTCAAGATTCTAGTTGGTGGTTGCTTGCCTTATGTTACAGGTGGGCATGTGTCCTCTTTACCTTCCTGCCGTTCAAGCTCTGACTCGAGTCAGAATATTAATAAAACTTTCTGCTGTGGCAGCTCCGGTGAAATGATCAAAGGGGACTTTAATGGTTTTCTGGAGTAGCACTTGACTTGGGTGTAAGGTTGGCAGGTACTTCCTCTTGTATCCAGAGGCTGTAATACTCACCATTGTCAGTGCGTTGCCACTCCATTCAGGGAAAGCCTTTGGCAGCTTTCCTGGGCTATTTAGGAAACAGCCTAATTATATGTGATTTTTCACTCCTCAGACATCTGTATAAAAGCTCTTGGAGCCAAGCACTTAGAACAAAAGATGACTGCTAATACTTCAGCAAGGTCCATGTTTTGCTCACGCATGTGCCTCTGCAACACTGGCGTTATCAAGGCTGGGGTTTTACCAAACTTCTGAGAATAGTAATGGCCTGCCTCAACTACCCCCTATGTTGTTAGGATTAAATGAGTTTGTGTGTGTGGAGAGAGCACACTTAAAACATATGTATATCATGATTACTATTTCAACCAGAGCTGATGAGTGGCTCAGTTTTGTTTTGTTTTTTTGAGTTGGAGTCTCACTCTGTCACCCAGACTGGAGTGCAGTGGCCGCTCCTGGCCACTGCAGCCTCGGTCTGCTAGGCTCCGGTGATCCTTCCGCCTCAGCCTTCCAAGTAGCCGGAATTACAGGCATGCCCTACCACGCCCTGCTGATTTTTTGATTTATTGCAGAGATGAGGTCTCGCTGCCCAGGCGGGTCTCAAACCCGCAGGCTCAGGCAATCTACTCACCTCAGCCTCCCAAAGGTGCGGGATTACAGGCTGAGCCACCGAGCCTGGCTGAGTGGCTCAGTTTTTACTCGAGTTGAAAATGATTATGCATTTTCTGTGTGCCTTGAATGGACTTAAATGTGCTTAGACTAAGATGATCAATGAGAGGAATTCTGAACAAAGCTTGATGTTAAAGGGTTACGGCCATGTAGGATGAACAGGAGTGAGAGCAAGAGTGTTTGAATACGACAGGGTCTCAGCAGCATCTAAACCCAGAGAACAAGGTGAAGCTTGTGTGCAGGGATGCAGCACTGTCCAACCTCAGATCCTGTCTCTGGCACATCATAGGTACTGAGAAAGTGCTCACAGGATCTTTAAAACACCAGTTCTGAATAAACAGGATTATAAAGGCCTGAAGATAAGAAATTTGGGGTAATCATATTAGATGTTCTACAGGTGGTAGTAAGCTTCTGTTCATATAGGATGTGTAGGGAGGGGAAAGAGATCTCAGGAGAAAGCAAGAAAAGGATCAACATAGACCTGGAGGAGGACCCCCCTCTAGTTACAACCAGTCCCGTGGCCCTGACTTAACTGTCAGAAGGCAGTCCTGAGCCCCCCACCTTGTGACAGGGATGCACACACCACAGAATCAAAAGCCCGGGCTTTTCTGTTCACCTGTGACCTTTGGAGAAGCACTTAGTCCTAGGTCTTTGTTTTCTCCTGGATAAAATGAGAAGGTTGGGCTAGACCATTTGAGGAACTTCCAGTCCGAAATTCTTTGCATCTGACTCAGGGGAGGAGTGGTGGGCACCTACGAACTTCCCTGATGTCTCTTTATCAGTGCTTTCCCAGGCCTGGGCATGCTCTGTCCCATCCTCAGGGGTGTACCCCAACGGGGCTACCCTCTCCCAGCAGCTCTTCAGTCGGGTAGGTCTTGTAAGGCCAGAGTAGCTTGACGTGCAGCCTTAGGACTGCAACCAAGGAGCAGAATCTTCCTTTTGTCTTGAGTGGAAAATGAGGCTTGTCCTGTCCCTTCCTGAGGTTTTTGTACTTGCCCTTAAAGGCTGACTGGCCTCAGCAGAGTAGAGGTGTGAAGCCCCTAAATCAACATTTAACAAGCACCTAGAACATGCCGTGATTTGGGCTGTGTAATAGGGATGGAAAAAAGGTGAAATGGGGACCCAGTGCTTCGTGCTCACACATGAAGGGGAAGGAGAGTTTAGAACACTTACCGAGCACGGATGCTGTCAGCTATATGCTTGTGCTAATCAGAGGTACTGTAGTCTTGGTGACCAGAGTAACTACAGAGGGCTTTGTAGCCTGGGAAGCTTAGTGGAGGAAAAAGGACTTGAGCTAATAGAAGTCAGATGATCCTAAGTCAAGCCCCAATGAAGCACCTAATTATGAAACACTTAGTGAGCCCGTGATTGCAGTGTGCACAGAGAACCTGCTATAGTTAATGGTCTGTGGCAGGCTCTCCAGGAGCCTTCTATGCATGGTGGCCTTTTTTAAGGCTTTTGCATACCAGGACAGTAATGGTCAGCAAACAAAGCCATTTTAAGGAAGAGAAAGTGGAGGGGGAGGAGGACTGGAGAGCGGCTGTCACAGACCATGGTGGTGGCTGTTGGAGTGACACAGGGCTGGGAGGGCCATTGGGCTCTGGAGCGATCCATGTGACACAAATCCATGCACTGCACTGAGGAACTGGGAAATGTGCTGGACACGGGAAACGGAGGAGGAAAAAGTAACTCTATAGTTGACCAGGAAAATGCAGGTGCTGGTACCACCTCCTTAAAACAATTCCTAGCTGGGTGTGGTGGCTTATGTCTAATTCCAACACTGGAAGGCCAAGGCAGGAGGATGGTTGAGGCCAGGAGTCTGATACCAGCCTGGGCAGCATAGACCATTTCTACAAAAAAAATTAAAAATTTAGCCAGACATGGTGGCATGTGTCTCTACTTCAGATATTCTGAGGAGGCTGAGATGTAAGGATTCCTTGAGCCCAGAAGTTTGAGACTACAGTGAGCTATGATTGCTCCACTGCACTCTAGCCTGGGCTACAGAGTGAGACTCTCTAAGAAAAAGGCAATTCATGACCATCTTGTTATCCTGGCATGATTCAGCACTAGGTCTCATTCCTGACCCACCAGCACTTTATGAAGGTGTCCATGTCTCATTCTCCCAGTGGAGTGTTCTGATTCTTAGTAATGATATCAGACTCCAGGTAAAGCTGTGCAGTTTGGCTACCTCACTGCTAACTCAGTTGCTTCAATCACTGTTGGATGTGAGTCATTTAGAAATATGGAAGATGAAGACCAGGTTTCTTACAGAGGAGCTATCCCCTTGGGGTGAAGGTTGGATTAGATTCCCTGGAAGTTCCCTTCCATGTCCAGGACTGATTCTCTACCTGGTTGGATTGCAGATCCCTAAGACCTGGGACCATGTCAAAGACAATGAGTATTCTCCCTCTGAGCTGAACACGGCCCCAGACACCACTGGTAAGCCAAGTCTCTCAACACTTGCCTCCTCCATTTGCCCAGGTGATGCAGAAGGACCAAAGTGTCCCCATGGCTGAGGCTTCTGCTAGCAGAAGCTGGCACTTAGGGGCACAGGAATGGCTTTCTGACTTGTTTTGCATGCACCTAGATTTTAAAAACTTGGTTGTAGCGTTTGATGAGCTCCAAAATGCAGCAGCCTATGTGGGGGTGCTCTGGCTCCTAGCTGGAAAGGCCTGGCCCTCTTCCTGCATGGCCAAGAGCAGTGCCGTCTTGGGCTCCAAACCCTGCTGAGATGAGTGGGCCACTGAAACCAAAACTGGATCCAATGAAAGAGGAATCAGGCAGGATGTGCGCCTGATGCCCCTCCTAGCCATCTCAGCAGAGTGGTGCACCACGGGAGCACTGAGCCTCTGTCAGTGCAGGTGGCTTCTGGGCCTGGGGTTATAGCCCTTGTGGTCTGCTCCCTTCACTGGCAAAAGCCCCAGGATTCACTAGGATGGAGCTTGGTGGAAGTCCACATGCTAAGCCTCTTATAGCTCTCTACTTGATAGCAGCAGCTAACAGTTCTTTGCATTATCTCACTGAGTTCCCAGAACAACCCTATGAGGTTATCATGCCCATTCCACAGGAGGAAAAGGAGGCAACCGAGTCTTAGATTAGGTGATTTGCCCAAAGTGATATAGCAAGCACTGGAGTCAGGAATCAAACCCAAAATTTAAACCCCTTTGCTCTATAGCAGCTCCTTGTGTGTCCAAAATATAATTCATTAATGATCATGAAATCATTAGAAGCCTGCTAGAACATAGGTGCCCTGAGAGCAGGGAATCTGCCTGCCACATCCACTACTGATCTCCAGCACCGAGCCTGGCTCATGACGGAAGGTTAATATGTGCTAGATTAAATAAGAGTGGGCAGGTGACTCCTGTGGCTCACCTTAGGGTCAGGCTTTGTTCTTACCTGTGTGGACACCATGCGGAATCAGTCTGGTTTTCTTTCTTTCTTCTTTTTTTTTTTTTGAGTTGAAGTTTCACTCTGTCTCCAGGCTGGAGTGCAGTGGCATGCTCACGGCCACCACAGCCTCAACCTACTACTTGGGCTCAAGCGATGCTTCCATCTCAGCTTTCCAAGTAGCTAGAAGTACAGGTGTGCGCCCCCACGCCCAGCTAATTTTTTTTTTTTTTTTCATTTTATTTATTGTAGAGACGGGAAGTCTCGCCAAGTTGCCCAAGCTGGTCTCGAACCTGTGGGCTCAGGCAGTCCTCTCACCTCTGCCTCCCAAAGTGCTGGATTACAGATGTGAGCCACCGTACCCCACTCTCAACCTGATTTTCTAGAAGCAAATGATGGCTCAG